AGGGAGGTTGGGAATGTGGACGGTGGGAGACTGACTTTGTATTTACCCCTTGGGAATCTTGCAATTCCCCTTGGGAATCTTTTAGATTTTGTATCATGCTCTGGGGCTACCTGTTTCAATAATTAGTAAGATTAAAAGGTAGGATGAAAGAGAGACAGGATAAAGGTGCAGGAAGGAGGCGGGGGAGGAAGGGAGAGAGAGCGACTCTAACCCAGCAGTCGCCAAACTTCTGTAGATGCTTTTGGTTTCTGGGAAAGATCCAAACCCCGGGTGGGACCCTATTAGCGGCACCATCTTCTCCTTGAACAGCCATCTCCCCTCTAGAAGGGGAGGCCGCCTGGCCTGGTGACCCCCAGCAGCGACGACCAGGCAACCCTCCCACCACCTCCGGTCTTCGGCATGAAGCAGGATAGCCAGCACCTGCCAACTCCCCACAGCTGACGAGAAGGGCCTGGTCACAGCTGCCTTCACCTCACAGAATCAGAGATGAGCTCACGGAAGGAGAGGCCTGCGCGGGTCACCCGGCCAGGGAGGGCCAGGCCTCAGTCCCCGGTGGCTCACCGGCTGTGGGGAGTTGACAGGTGTTGGCAGGTGCTGGAGAGGTACTTGCTTCCTCAGAGGGCTGCTGGGAGGGTTGATTTTTATCTTTTCTCCACAGCCGTGTAAGCTGAAGTCCAAACATGTGGGTCTCAGCAGGGCCGTGCTCCCTCTGAGAGCTTTGGGGGAGTCCTTGGCCTCGTCCAGCCCCGGGTACTGCAGGCCTTTCCTGGCTCGTGGGCACATCCCCCCACTCTGCCTCTCCTCCACAGGCCGCCTTCTTTCTGGGGGTCTCGAGCCTCGCTCGCCTTTGTGCACACCTGCCACTGTGCTTACGGCTTTCTCGGGTACACCAGGCGCTCTCGCCTCAGGGCCTTCACCAAGTCACACCTGCGAAGACCCTTGCCCCAAATAAAGTCACCTTCACGGATTTCTTAGGACGTATCTCTTTTTTCTTTTGGTGGGTTCTGGGGGCATCCAACCTACTACTGGTCCAACGAGGTAAAACTAGGAGTTTTTGTAGTAAAACCCCCAGCACAGTAAGATTTTTATGTTAATCAAGACCTTGATTTTGCTTGGACCACAAGATACTGAATGAGTTGCCCATCTTTAAGCCTCGAGAGCTTTCCCATGAAAGTGAGTAATTCTCCAGGAAAAAGCCCAGAACACTGGCATCACAGGAGCTATCTCCTGCAAGGCCTGAGTGGCAGCTGCCCTTCCGAGAGGCCGGCGCCCACACTGCCCCGCCCGCACCAAGCCAGAGGCCTGCCAGCCGGCCAGTGAGCCACCGGGGACTGAGGCCTGGCCCTCCCCGGCCGGATGACCCGGGCAGGCCCCTCCTTCCGTGAACTCATCTCTGACTCTGTGAGGTGAAGGCAGCTGTGAGCGGGCCCTTCTCTTCAGCTGTGGGCAGTTGGCAGGCGTTGAAGCTTGAGGTCAACAAGACTCAGCGTGGACATCTCTGCCATTCTCTCTCCGCCTGCCTGGCTGCTCGTTAGAACGACCTGAGTGAATTTTTGAAAACACCTGCGGCCAGGCCCCAATCTACAGCCTTTGCTTTTTGAACAGGTCTCAACCCTCCCTCCCCAGGCCCCTGTCCCTTCATTCATTCCCATTCCCTGTCTCTCCCTCCCCTATACGGTTTGCTATGAAAACAGTCTCTCGGTCCTGCACCCAGGGGCTCCTGACCACCATCTGTCATGCACACACCTGGGTTGGCGTCAGTGCTTCAGTCTCCTTTTTCCAGGTGTCCCTGTGGAGGGGGTTGGCTCCCCCTCCACAGGCACACGCAGCTGCACTGGCCGTGGCTGCACCACCCCTCACCACCCCCACCCTCCCCACACCTCCCCCCACCCCCCGCCTCCCAACCCCTCCGCTCTGCTTACTGCTGGCTCCTGGCTGGAGGCCCTGGCTGCCTCCTAGGCTGTGGGGCCCTGGCAGCCACTCCAAGGACCACATCTCCGAGTCTGTGAAGGAAAGGAGGGCGTGGGAGCCGTGGCTCCCAGGGCCTCCCACACAGACACCCCAGCACAGCAGCCGTGCCGGCCGCCTGTGTGTTTCTCACAAACCTTTTCCCTCTGCAAAGCAGCAGCGGCAGCTCCTACCCACCTGTGACCACGCAGATGCTTGTCTTTTTCTTTCTCCATTTCCTAACAAGGCTGTCCTAAAATATACAAAAAATAAACACCTCAGCTGTGAGCACCCCATGCAGGCGCCCTCGTGGTCCCGAGTGAGCACTTCTTGGGAAGTCGCCCTGGTGCGAAATTATTGGGAGGAACACGTGCGCAGGAAGTCACCTCACTGAGTCAGGCTTAGGATTTGGACCAGACTCAGTGCCGAGATGACAGCGCCACGGAATTTCCGAGCTGGCAGGCCGTGCTCACCCGTTGCCTCCGGGGCTTTTCCTTCTGTACGTCACCTATTTAAATCCATTTTCCTGTGAGAGTTGCTCTTTTTCTGCTTTAAAAAAAAAACAACCAGGGCCTCCCCCGTGACACAGCGGTTGAGCACTGGGTTGCGAGGCTGCCCGCAGCCTCTGCGGCGCTGGTTCGATCCCCGGCTGCTCCCCGGCCACCGGAGGAGGATCCCACATGGCGCGCAGACCTCCCCTGCCTCCCGCTGCTCCCCTCAGCAGTGTACTTCAGTCCTTCTGCCTGCTCTGCTCCCCACTTTGGCTCTGATGAATTCTCTCACCCTCCCGCGCTTCTGACCGTACCCAGTGCTTGTATAAATAAATAAATAAATAAATAAACCAACTCATTGGTGCTTCACTTTCCGAATATGTTCTCCCATTCTGAAATCTATGACATTTGCCCATGATGGCCTTATTCAAAAACAAGTTTTCATATAATTTTCTTTCTTTATAATTTTGGGGTTTTGAGAAGTCCTTCTCTGGGGCCTCCCTCATGGTGCAGTGGGTTGAGCACTGCGCTGTGAAGTTGTCCACAGCCTCTGCAGCGCAGGTTCAATTCCCAGCCAGCCAGGGCGATACCCACATGGCACGGCAGAACTCTCCTGCCTCGCCTGCTGCTCCCCTCAGCAGTGTCCTCGGTCCATCTGCCTGTTCTGTTCCCTACTCTGTCTCTGGTGAATTCTTTCACCCTCCTGGGCCTCTGACTGTACCCCTGTTCTTGCATAAATAAAATCTTTAAAAAAAAAAAAGTCCTTCTCTGCCCTCTAGGTCATCAAGCACTTTCTTCTATCAAGCTAGCAGCTTATCTTTCTTTTCAGTCATTTTTATTTTTTTAAAGATTTATTTTTGTTTATTTATTTTTTTTTTAGAGGCATGTATTTTTATTTATTTGTTTGTTTATTTGTTTATACATGCACTGGGTACAGTCAGAAGCGCGGGAGGGTGAGAGAACTCACCAGAGCCAGAGCGGGGAGCAGAGCAGGCAGAAGGACCGAAGTACACTGCTGAGGGGAGCAGCGGGCGGCAGGAGAGGTCTGCGTGCCATGTGGGACCCTCCTCCAGTGGCCGGGGAGCAGCCGGATCGAACCCGCGCCTCAGAGGCCGTGGGCAGCCTTGCAACCCAGCCCTCAACCGCTGCGCCACCGGGGAGGCCCTATTTTTGTTTATTTATGCATACAAGAACTGGGGTGTGGGCCAGAGGTGCAGAGGGTGAGAGGATCCACCAGAGAGTGGGGAGCAGAACAGGCAGATCTACTGAAATACACTGCTGAGGGGAGCAGCGGGCGCGACAGGAGAGGTCTGCTGTGCCATGTGGGTAGCTCCCTGGCCAGGGGTCAAACTCAGCACTGAGACTTTAAGCCCCACGCTGTCAGGGAGGCCCCCACAGTCATTTTTAATCCATTGAGAGAAACGCTGCCTGGCAGAGCTGGAAGAAAGGGAAGGTTTCACATCTTTCTGGTAGCCAAGGGCCCAGGGTGGCAGCTGACTGCAGGAGATGCAGCCAGTGCAACCGCAGGACCTTTATTTTTGATTTTAATTTAAATAACCGTACGTACCAAGTGGCAACTGCCCTGGCCAGCACAGATCGAGGGCTCCCTTTTGTTGCGGTCACACGTGGGATTCAGTTTCATTTTCTCAGTAAAAGGAACCAATTTCCCCAGCGCCATTATTAAACAACCTATTTCACGCCGCTGCTCTGTGGCGCCGTCCTCGCCATCTATTAAGCTCCTGCATGTGCTTGGGCCGGCCTCTGGGTCTCTGCTCGTTGCCTTTCAGTCAGACTATCCTGGGAAAAGCCAGTGACTCCAGTGAACAGCAGGGGTGGAGAACCATGATTCTATAGGAGCAGAATTTTTAGCTAGACTTTTCAGTCACCCATAATAATGATATTTCCCAGCCTCCCTTGCTGCTGGGTGTGGCCACATCACTGAGCTCTGGCCAATGAGGCAATGGCGCAACCTCTGGGTCAGGCCCTTACAAGGAAGGGCGATGCCTCGAGTCCCATCCTTGTCTAGTGGAGGCGGCAAATCCCTTGGGCTACGTGGTGGGGGCCAGAGTCCTCAAAGCAAGATGGAAGGAGGCTGGGTCCCTGCTGACGGGGAAGGGCAGCCTCCCACATTCCTCGGCCTTCTACACGAGGGCGACCGTGGAGATAAAGGCAGCATTAGACTCACCTGGAAGCTTGCTAAACTCCAGCTCGCAGGGACTTCCCCAGGGTTTGAACCTGCCTGGGCTGGGGCCTGGGGATTTGCATTTCCGGCCAGTCACCAGGGCTGCTGCAATCCTGGCTCCGCTTGGGGAGAAGCCCCGCAGGACCTGTGCAGTGTGGTCTCTGGAAGCACTTGCTGTGGCTCTGCAGCTCAGGCCCCCCGCCCCAACACCTCCTGCTGCCATGGAGCCGGCAGTCACCGCGGAGCACCCAGATGGTGCACGAGCTCCGGGTGGAGCACATCCTCTGGTGCCACCTCCCTGGGTGCAGCTGCCCTGCCACACTCACCCTAGAGCTGCCATGGAGGCTGGGAGCCCGAAGCACCTCCAGGCCCGGGCTCCCTGGCCAGCTGCGACCCTCAAGTCCTGCCAGCGTTGGCCATCAAGGGGGCGTCCTGGGTGAGGCTGGAGGAAGCCCCTCTGCCAGCCCGCAGCAGAGCTGGTGGACTTGGGCACTCAGGCAGCAGTGCCACTGCCACTGACCAGCCCCTGGGGAGAGGCTGCCTCCTGTCATCACTTCTGTCCGCGTCCCCAGCCTCTGGCTCCTACGACCTTGCCGCCTCAGAAACCAAGCCAGGGATCAAGTCTCTTGTTTGAAACAACCTGAGGGTTTGGTCCCCGGGGAAGCCCTTCTGTGAGGGCAGCAGCTGCGGGAGGGGCACTCCCAAAGGGGTGTGACGGTGACTGAAGGCAACACCAACAGCCCAGTCGCTGTGGAGCGCTGGCTGTCACTGCTGATCCGGCCTGGAGGCGTGGGCTCCGAAAGAGTCGGTGGCTCCATTTTCCTATCACCTTGAGCAATCTGTACAAGGGAGGAATCCCGCGATCCTTCGGTCTGTGGAAGTCAAGCTCAGAGCTTTTTGTTGGGGGGTCATTTGGGTCTCCCTGGTTTTCCATTTCTCCTTAAGCCGACGTTAGCATGTATTATCTGAGCGCATTCACCCAGGCCTCGAATGCGCTCAGAGGTTCAGGTACAGGCGGATGCTCGACCCGGCAGGCTCAAGTCTGAATCTCCATCCAGATCCCTGCGCCTCCCACGCACCTCCTGCTGCACACCAGGCCAGGGGGCGCGGACCACCTCTCCAGCTGGGCCCTGAAGAGCCCCCCGGCTAGTGTGCCACACTGCCAATTCATCAATATCCACTCCCCAGGGCAGCTTCTCCCCAAGCACTGCACCCAAGATAAGCCACTGCCGCTGGAGCCCACCGCGGTCAACTGGTGGTCGGGCCGCGTGGGCGCTGCTGGGCTGGCTCTCTCCAAGCCGAGGCGGCCTCTTCCTGCCCACAGGTGAGGTGTGACTGGCTGGATCTGAACTCCCCCAGGGACCCCCCACATCGGCACCAGCCCTAAGCAGGCTGGAGTCCCGCAGTAAGTCAGGACTCACTTGCCCAACCCTAGGCCTCTTGCCCCTAATTCTCACCCCCAGATGGTTGGGACAGGGGCCTCTACACACAGCACACACACAAAACAAGAAAATGTTTTAATTGTAAAACTAACTTGAGGGAGGGGAGGGCGGGGCCACACCGAGGGGGCAGGAACCTGATTCTTCAAGCAGTGGCTCTGTCCCTGGTGCCACCCTGCCGGGCAGGGACCATCTGTCCCCCAGTGAGGACAGAGGCTCGAGTGTTACAAAATGACAATATAAATAGACTTCTAGAAAAGAGGAGGCTGTCCAGGTGCAGTAGTCATTTTCTGTAGAGGCTGGGGGGTGGGTGGGGAGCCCCAACACCTGTGTCCCCATCCAGCCACAGAAAGGGGGTACAGGCTAAGGGAAAAGGCCACTCTTCAGACATTCATGATTGACCCCCACAATGGCTCAGGGGAGGGGGGCTGTCATTAGGTAAGGTCGCAGAGACACCCACTTGCAAACGGGAGGATAAGGGAGCTGGATCTTCCGCGCGGGCTCACGCACAGGCTCACGCACACACACATACACACAGGCGGGGACACAGGCACACAATCTCTTTCGTAGTGTTCTCTTGGCCCCGGGTGGCCCCACACGGATTTCCAGTGACGGGAGGACCTCCTGCCCTTTCTGGAGACAGAAAACACAGGGGCTGGCCTCTCCGGAGGGTGGGGGTCCCGGGAGCCTCACTTGCTCCCATGAGTCCTTGTGTTTCAGTCACAAGGTCAAGCCCGGAGTTCAGTAGTAGGGTCCGCAGGCCCCCAGCAGGGAGGGTGGTGCCACACGGAGTGTGGTGGGGGCGGGGGCCTCCTACTGGCCTCCGGCAGGGCGAGGGTGACCCCAGGGGCTCTTTGGTTCAGGATGGGCGCTGGGCCTCATCTGGTGCGGTTCTGGCGCATGAGGGGCACGATGCTGGCGGGCGGGCCTGCTTTGGCCAGGAACGGGTGCTTCAGCAGCTCAGCCGCCGTGGCCCGTTGCGCCGGGTCGCGCACCAGCAGGCGGTCCAGGAAGCCCTTCAGGGATGGCGATACCTGTGGGGGTGGCGGGGTCAGAACAGAGTGCCGGCTCTGGGCTGAGTGCCAGCCCGTTTGCTCCTCTGTCAGAAGGCGCATCCGCTGCCCAGGCTGGGACGGCGGGTCTGCCTGGAGCCCGGCTGCGGGTCTGGCTGCCCGCACATGTTCAGGTCTGCAAGGAGCTGGCGGCACCGTGGCCCTGAGCAGCCCTTTCTCACTGGGAAACCCTTCCTCCAGGAAGGCCCTTTCCTGGACCTGCGACGTGCGTGTGGATGGCCTGGCAGCATAAGCACCACCTCTGGGGGAGGCTGTGGGCACAAGGCCCTGTTTACAGACACTTGAGGCTGGGTGGTAGGGGGAAGAGCCATCAACACCCCATTCCTGCCTATGCCTTGTGCTCTGCCGGGGCGCCAGGCCGGATGGCACCCAGCACCCTGCCTAATGTGTGTTGTTTCCCTCACACCAGCTGCCCGCAGGGGCGCACCTTGTGCAGGTTCTTCAGTCGGGGTGGCAGGTTGTCCCGAATCATCTTCATGGCTTTGAGAGGGGGCTCATTGAAGTAGGGGGGCTCCCCATCCACCATCTCGATCACCATCACCCCCAGAGACCAGATGTCCACCTGTGGTGGGAGAGGGGCAGTGAGGCTGAGCTGCTTGGGGCCCAGGGCGGGCAAGCCTGGGGAGGCCGGCTCTCAGCTCTGGAGGCCCTGGGGCCGGAACACCCTGGCGCCCACGCTGCCACAGACCCCACCCTCCTCGCCCTTTCCTGAAGCACAGGCTCCGACACCGCCCAATGTGCGGTAGGAATTTGGCCTCCAGGTGGTCAGATCTCCTGGTTTTCCAACAGAGTACAGAAGTGGGGGGTTTTGTGCCAGTCCCCATTTTCAAAACGCTTCTGTGGGAACACCATCAGCTGCACGGGCCGGGAGCCTGCCAGTCTGTGACATCCACACCAGGTCCAGGGCATCTGTGCTGGGCCTGCTCTCTGTTCCTCTTGCGGAGCGCTGGCCCGGCTCAGAACTACCACCAGAACGGAGCAGCGACTGCGTGCACACTGTTCCTCTTCCTCGCCCACAGAGTGGTCCATGGTACCCCATTCCCCTTGCTGAGCCACCCAGTACTCGAGTTGCCCCTGCCCTCAGGGCTGCCCCTGGCTCACCTCTGGCCCATACGGGAGGCGGGAGATGAGCTCTGGGGCCATCCAGTAGGGCGTGCCGACCAGTGACTTCCTCCGGGGCACCTCCTTGCTCACCTGGGCGCAGAACCCAAAGTCTGACAGCTTCACCTGGGGGAGGGTGCAGGCAGCAGGGTCAGAGGTGCCTGTGGGCAGGGGGGGGAGCAGGCAGCAGAGGCGTCCACCCATTTAAGTCCTTGGCTTTGGACATGCTGGGTTGCCACTGTGCAGCCCAGAGGTCACACTCAAACTACCCGGAGCTCCATCACCTCCTGGCAGGGGCCCTCGGGCATGTCACCCCCCAAGACCACACCAAACGCCTTCTTGACAGGACTGCTCCAGAGATCCTGGGGGAAGGGGCCGCGTTCTGGAGGGACCACAGGCTGGGCAGGGTTAGGCTAGGGCTGGCTCCCTGGGCCATGGAGGATGCGCGTCAGGTGACAGATGTCAGGGGACACAACGCCGCCCTGAGTGTCTGAAGGGGACAAAGCCATCCTGAGTCTCTGGAGGGCACAAGGCCCCTCTGGCCAGAACCAAGGAGTTATACCTTTTTGGAACCGTGGGCCCCTTTTGGATTCTAGCTCTGGATCTCCCTGCCCCTCCACCCTGAGGTAGCTCAGCTGCAGGAGTGCCCATGATCCCACGCGCTCACGGGTGCCCCCCAAACATAGTTGAGTCACCTTGAAGAGCTCACGAGCCCCCAGAGAAACAGAGCCCCTCTCTGTACCTGCTGACTTAACTGTCCTGAGGAGGAGCGAGTGAACCCCAACAAGAATTTGGTGAGATGAGGCTTCTAAGGTAAAAGGGAGGGAGGGCGAGGGTGAAAGGGGCACAAGGGGTAGTGGTGGGGAAGAATAAACTTCTACGCTAGATCTAGGGATCAGGGAAATAAAGGCATTTGATTCATTAAAAAACAGAGAGATGGTGGTGACATGGACTTGGGCGACGGCGGTGGAGGCAAAGGAGAAACGGGCTGACTGCAAAGATACGTAGGGTCCCAGACCGCTGGGACTCAGAGCTGAGGAGCTGTGAGAACCAGGCAAAGTGGGGGCGTCACAGACCCAACGATTATTGGGGAGACTGTGCTCATGCACTGCGGTCGAGGACTCTGGGGGGACACAGGCTGGGCGCGGAGGACGCCTCCTGCCCAGTGACTGAGGACTCGCCATGCGCCGGGCCCCGGGGAGCTGGCCACAGAACCCTGCTCATGGAGCTGGCATTCGGAGGGGGCAGAATTTGGTGAGAGTCAAGGGACCCCCCCACACTAAAAGTCCTGTCGACTTCTGGAACACAAATGCAGGTTCTGGGCACGTGAGGCTTCAGTCGAGAAGACAGAGACAGGAGCGGAGCCCACGGCCCACTCGGGCGGTCGCCAGGAGCAGGCGTCACGGAGGGAAGCGTGTGGCCAGAGCTGCGGCCGGTGCCCAGGTGCCCTCGCCCGATGCTGGGCCCAGGGCTCCCAGTGTGCTGTGCCCGGAGCAGCGCCCCCACAGCTGGGCTACCCAGTGACTGGGTGAGTGGCCCCCACTGACCTGGACCCGACTCTGGACTGTGGTGTGGGAAACAAAAACCTACAGCTCCCCAAGCCACTGAATTGGGGGTCAGAGTCTAGCAGCAGAGGGGAGGCTGGAGTGGCACCCAAGTCACCCCACATCTCACCCTGCCATCGTGGGTAAGCAGGATGGAGTCGCTCTTGATGTCCCGGTGGATGACGCCCTGGGCGTGCAGCACGGACAGGGCCTGCAGCACCGCCAGGCACACGGCGGCAATCTGCTCCTCGTTCATCCTGCGGGGTACCAGGTAGAGGCGTCGCCCTGGGCCCTGGGGGACAGCCCCGCCCTGGGGGACACAGTCCCGCCCCTGAGTGTTTGAGGGGGACAAACCCACTCTGGGTATCTGAAGGGCACAAGGCCTTGCCCCTGGGGCTTGAGGGGGACACAGTCCCCTCCTGGGGGGCTGGAGGGGGCTTTATCCTGTCAGTCGGTTGGAGGAGCCTGGGGGTCCGGCTGCTGAAGTACCTGGTGTGGGTAACGATGTCAGTGAGGGCACCTCCCTCCAGGAACTCCATCACCACCCAGAGCTCGTCGCCCACCAGGTAGCTGTTGTACATCTCCACCACATTCTCGTGCTGGTAGTCCCTCATGATCACCACCTGCGCACAGGCCGGTCAGTGTGGACGAGGACGGGGAGCGCCAGCCGCCCTCCTCCGGGCCTGGGCCCCGCCACACGGCTTACCAGGGGCACCTCCACTCCCCCCACTCCTGCTGACTGCCGTCCTGGATGGCCTCCCCCACTGCACTGCCAAAGCCAACAGACCTCAAAGATGGCGCAAGGCCTGACACCTCCCATCTGGGAGTGCTCCCCACCCCAGGCACACACATCTTCTGATCCTGAACTCTGGCCAGCCCTGAGCTGGTCTCTGAGTGGTCCTGGGGCTGGACGGGTGTTGGGAAGGCGTGTCTAAGCACAGGGCGGGGATCAGGCCAGCAGTAGCCAGGCCTAGAGCAGGTGTGGGAAGGAGGGTTCCCTGGGCAGGAAGGTCTAGCAAGGCCCTCAGGCCCATGTTAGAAGTTCATGGGGCAGCTGGAGAACTATAATATTGGGGGACAGGGTGTGAGCTATGGGGTGCAATTGAGTGCTGAGACTGGGAGGCACGAGCCAGAGTCTGGCCCTCAGGAGTGACATCCTCCCAGGATTCCTGTGTCTGGAGGGGGCTCTCTACAGGTATTCCCCTCCGGACAGTGAGGGAGTTGGCCTCTATGGCCTGCATCCGGCAGAGAAGCTGCTGAGAGCCAAAATCAGGGTGGACAGAACCCAGGGGCCTGGCCTTTATCCGAAGGCACCAGGGGGCGCTGTAGGGACGAGTCAAGGGGGGTGTGGGAGGCCAGCAAGGCACTCTCCTGGCTGCCACTGGGGATCTCAGAGGGGCGGCCAGGGCTGCCCAGGCAAGAAGAAGTGACAGGCTGGCGTGAGGCTCAGGGAGGGTCCGCGGCTCTGGGCTGGGCTGGTGGGGCATCTGTGAGACAGGAACCCAGAGGAGAGGTGGGTTTGGGATACTTGATGGGGTGACAGGCACAGGGCGGGGATGAAGGGAATGAGGGCCGAGGAGCTGGACAGAGATGTGGCCCTGGGTCACTCGGGGACAGAGAGACCGCCTGGTGTGAGGACCAGCCTTGGGAACCCCAGCCCTGGAGTGCTCTTTCCTGTCCCCGGCCCAACGGGCCAGAATCTGGTGGAGGGACAGCGGAGGCCGAGGCGGGGGTGAGGGGAGGTGCATGGGGCGCACCTCGTTGAAGAGCAGCTCGCGCCTCTGCTGCTTGCGCAGGTCCATCTTCTTGACGGCCACCAGCCTGCCCGAGCTGCGCACGGTGGCGATGCACACGATGCCGGTGGAGCCCTCGCCGATCTTGATGAAGTTGTCCAGGTAGGAGCGGGGGTCACCGGGGTCCACCACCAGCTGCAGGGCCGCCCGGAACTGCTCGTGCGACACTCGCTGGGGTTCCCGCTGTGGTGAGCGGGGGCCGGGAGGGCCAGGGGCAGGGGGGCCGGTGGGGGCGGTGAGGATGCGGGCTGGAGGGGCCAACTGGGGCTCAGAGGCGTGGGGACCCAGCACTCCAGGGCTGGGGGGGCCGCGGGCTCGGGTGGGGGGCCGGGAGGAGGAAGACTGGGGGACAGCCAGGCTCCCTGCGGATGGCCCATTGGGGGTCATGTTGTGAGGCTCCCCCTGCAACAGAAAACAGAGGTGACTGTCAGTGGCGGGGCGGGGGGCCAGCTCGGCTGCCTGAGCAGGAGGGGCCCCGGCTGTGGGACAGACACACGGTGGGTAGGATGGAGATGGACAGTGGGCGGGGAACAGGGTGGAGGTGGTGGGTGGAGCTGAGGAAAGTCTTGGGCGAGCGGGCAGTGCGGGTCCTGGGGCAGGGAGATCGGTTACCTGCGTGCCCCGGGACGGGTGGTCCGTGTCAGCCCGCGGGTACGTGTTAAAGGGCCGGCCAGCCACCACTTTGGCCCCGCTGGCCAGACCGGCAGGCTGGGCGGTGCCGACGTCAGGCCCTGAGACTGGGCGTTTGTCCCGGGAGGACTCCTGGGGCCCTCCTGCGCCCTCCCTGGAGGACTTGGGCCTCTTCTCCGGCCCGACTCGCCGCCGGTCACCACCGCCACCGCCCCCCTCGCTGTGGCCAGGGGCCCGGTTGTGGCCGCCGGCCTTCTCTGGGCCTCCTCTGACCACGGCGGCCTGCTCCGCGGACATCCCGTTTTCCTGGCGGGCGCGGGCGGGCGGCGGGCTGTCTCTCCGCAGGGAGTTGGAGCGCGTCACCGACATGTTCTCAAACTCGCCGAGCAACAGCGTGAGGGCCCCGTCCTTGGCACCTTTGCTGCCCCGCACGATGGTCTGGGGTCCAGGACAGTGGCCAGGTGGGGGTGGGGCAAGGAGGGGGGGACACAGGACGTGCGGCCGACACAGACGGACGAAACAACATAACACACACACAGAGACAAGACAGAGACGAATGAAGAAATGCCATGGGGTGATGCTGGGGCTGGATGGCCCCTGGAGAAGCGTGTCCCCCCCACCCCTGTCTTTCTCCTGCTCTCCAGGTTAGTGGGGAACGTCCCTGCTCTTTGGGGTGGGAGGGAAGGAGAAGAGAGATCACACCACCCATCGTCAGCCCTGGAGAGATGCAAATTAAAGGGTGCTGGGGCCAGGGCTTGGCTTGGCACTTCCTTTCCTGCAGCCTGCCAGGGTTAACCCCCAAACCACGCTCTCTGTTCCCCTGGAGGCCAAGGGTGGGGTACAGGGAGAGTCAGAAAGGACTGGGCCCAAAGTAGAGGGTACCAGGAATGGGGCCAGGTAGTGGGTCAAGTGTGGCCACATCAGCCAGGTCTCACCCTCCGCAGCCATCACCCTGAACCAGGTCACGCTGCGACTTCCCTCCCTGACGCCCTGAGCACTGAGGCGCAGCCGCCAGGTTGCCCTGCTTCCCGCTCAGCGCCTGGCCCCCTCACTGCTGTTCAAACGCACCGGGCCTGCTCCCACCGCAGGGCCTCTGCACTGGCTGGCTGTGGGGCTGGAACATGGCCCCTTCTGGCTTGCTCCTGCCCGTCCTCCCTCCTTCCGATATTTGCTCTAAACTCAGTTTCTCAGAACGAAGCTTTAGCTTCACTTTGACCCCCTGAAGTCTAAAACACAGACCCTAACACCTTCAATTCCCCTCCCCCCTTCTTTATCTCTAGAGCATTTAAAACCAGCTGCAGAGAGCACACAGCTGTCTGCTTCCTGCAGCAATGTTCTCGATGCAGGATGGTTTCCTCCTGTCTATCTGTGCTCCAGCTACATCTCAGCACCCAGAACAGCAGCGTCTGGTGCGCAGCAGGTGCTCAGTACACATTTCTGAGCCAGTGAGTGAGTGAGGTGGGCTGGGGAGGGCTGTGCGAGCAGGGACCATGTCCCACCTTCTGCTGTCAATCCTGGGCATGAAGGGACACCGAGCCCGGGCTGTCTCTGATGTGCAGAAAACAGGGATCCCATGAAATCCACCCACAGGTCATGGTGGCCACGGGGGCCTGGCCCCTGCTTCTCCTGGGCCTCTGCTGTCGGCCCAGGGCCCAGTGAAACAAGCCACACACCTGGTGGGACTGGGAGCTGCAGTAAGAGGCTGAGAGGTCCCGTGGGCTAGGGGAGCCCTTGGAAAGACTGGAGAGAGTCCCAGCCAAGGGCTGTGAACATGAGTGCCCACAGGAGGCCCAGGACAGTGCCAGCCACATGGCAGCTCTCTGAGAACTAGGACCAGAGGCGCCCTCCTTCTGGTGGACACGGACAACCAGGGTTCAAGCTGGCAGCCAAGCAGGGTCATGGCAGCAGTCGCGCCAGGGAGGCCTACCCAGCAAGCCAGCAGGGGTGGAGCCGTGTGGGCTGGGTGGGGCTCGAGGGCCCAGGAGAGCCAGCGTCTTGTCTGGGGAGGCTGCTGCCCCTCAGTTTCAGCTGATTAGTCAGGACAAGCCAAAAATACAGGTTTGGATGCAAAGTCTCTGCTCTTTCAGGCTGTATGCAAAAGCGCCTTGCATGGGACACACGGCAGCTCAGGGGGCAGCCAGATGGAGACCCTGGTGGGAGGGCATGCACACTTCTGTCTGTGCCCACCTCCTGACCAGAAGAGGATGAGTCAGCCAAGGCCCGGCCTCAGGCGCTGAGCACGCTGCCTGCCACGCCCCTCTCCACCCCTGGGAACCACCCAGGCTCCACTCCCTGGCCAGTGACCCTCCCGGGTTCCCAGTGCCTGTGGGATAAAGTCCACACTCCCAGGCTGACCACATAGGCTGGGTGTGGCCTCACCCCACAGGCCACGCCTGGGCGCCGGGACCACAGACACAGGAAAGGGGTTAAGAGCATGGGCCTTGCAAAGAGACCTTGTTTAAATCCCAACTCTGCCATTTTGCTCAAATTGGCAGGAAAAACACCCTTTCCCAGCCCCAAATTCTTCATGTGGGCCGACTCCTTCACTTCCTGTGGGCACTCATGGTCACAGCCCCTCCCTACCCTGCCTCAATGACTCCTACTTGGCCCTCAGAGCTCAGCTCAGGTATCACCAGCTCTAAAAAGCCAGTCGTGGTCTGGGCTGGGTCAGCTCCCCCTCTGGCCTCCCCCAGCCCAGCATGCACCATCTGGGTAAGGACGGCGCCCCCACTGCAGCGGGGGCACTGTAGAGGCCCCAGGACAAGGGCATGGTGCTGGGGACAGGAGGCACGAGGCCCCGGGAGAGGGGACCATCAGAGGGCTGGGCTAAGTGTGGGCCTCTCAGGACCAGCACTACTGTGGAGAGGCCAGGGAGGGGGTCACTGGCTGCAGAGATGAGTGAAAGGCCAGCATCAGGGTGAGGAATATGGTGGAGAGTTGGGGTGTCTGGAGATCAGTAAGAGGAGAGGTCGGTGAGGAGGTGCTGGCTGCAGGGTCAGGTGAGGTTAAGGGCTGGGTCACTCTGGTCAGTCTGGTCCAGAGCAAGCAACAGGGTGCGGACATACCTTGGGGACCCCTGGCTGGATGGAGGTGATACAGGCAGGGTCAACGAGGGGCTTGGGCCGGCGAGCTGACTCCTCGATGAGGCTCTGCCACTGGCGGGGCAGCCCCGTGAACTTCTGCTCATGCTGGTCAAAGCCCGTATGCACGCGGTGCTCGAAGTTGGATGGCGCTGAGATTTCTACCCGCTTCTTCTTCTTCCCAAACATGGCGCTGAGGCTCCGAGCACCGTGAGGGCGCAGACTTGGGTTCTCACCAGCGGGCCTACAGGAGGGGAACACTCACTAGAACCTGCCTATTCCTCCCTACTCCTTTGGTACTGTCCCTGTCTCCACCACGCTTCCTTCCTCCCTGGATCCCCTGCTCCCCGGGCACACTCCTAACACCTGGGTTGGTAGCTCCCTCCCCTGCTCAGAGTCCTCCTGTGGCTCCTTGCAGAGGAGAGCTGACTACTCCCCATGGCCACCCCCTCCAGTGACCCACCCCAGGCCCCACTACGTCTCTGCTCTCATGACCCCTTCCCTCGCACTGGCTTTCATGCCCCAGGGCCTTTGCACTGGCTGTTCCCTCTGCCTCGAACAACCTTGCCCAGTTTCCACACATGGCTGCCTCCCCTCCTCCAAGTCCCACAGCCACTGGTAAGTCCCTTCCTGACTATCCCGAGAAAAAGGGCCCCCACACCCGACTGTCCTCCCACAACACCAGCGCCACAGCATGTCTAGCTTCTGGGCCTTATGCAGCTCACCCTCGCATCTGTGAGGGCAGCAGCTCCACCCCCTCACTAGGTGTCAGTGCCACAGGTCCGGTTTTCCCATCCCCCCACGCCCAGCATGGAGCCTGACAGTTGGTGACTGGTTCCTGAAGGCCTGGCATAGCCTGCCTGATCTCCCAGCCTGGCAGCTGGGCGGGGAACACCGCACACCTTCAGGGCAGCCTTCAACGCTGGCTGCTGAGCCCCTGTCCCATGTGTGACCCCCCGGGGAAGCCCCAATGCTAAGGCTGCTTTACAGATGCGGAGGGAGCCCAGGCTCTGAGGAGGGCAGCTCCTCCTGGAGGCCACTTCGGGAAAAGCCACTCCTAGCAGGCCCTAGTGGACACACTCCATCTGGAGGGCTGTGGTCTTAGCTGGGTACTCAGGACAGATGAGTGTGACACTCAGTGAGTGTCAGTCACAGAGCAAAGGGGCTGAAGGGGGGCCACGCTGCCGGTGGTGTCCCTGGGGAGGGCCGGAACGGGGTGGGCAGGGAGCCAGACAGCCAGAGAGCAAATCTCTGCTGCTCACTCCCTGGGAAAGCGCCTTCACCTCTCTGTGCCTTGGTCAGCCCCCACGGGGTGGTTGGGAGGGCTGAGCTGGCCGGGCACAGCGGGAGGGCGGTGGAAGTCTGCCATTCTAATGAGTAGGATTCCTCCAGCAGTGTCCGGTAGGGCCCAGGCCCCCCATCCCTGCCCCCCCCCACAGGCCTTGAGTCCCACAGACCTGGTCTGATGCTGGCTATGCTAGAAATGCCCTTGGGCAGGTGACGTCTCCTCGAGGGGCTTCGGGTCACTCATCTGTAAAACAGAGAAAACCCGCCATCAGTACTCACGCACTCCTGGGTGCCTAGTCTGTGCGGGTGGCGGGGACAGAGAAGTAGCCCAGGCAGCCTCTGGCCCCTGGGGCAGCCAGTCCAGAGGGGCAGACAGCCCTGGCCCTAGGCCGTGAGGGAGCGCCAGGCCCAGCCTGGAGGGACGGGTGAGGGAGGGACGAGACTGAAGGGCGGTCGGGCAAACGCAGGGTGGAGGTTTCTGTCTGGTTCACGGCTGGCTCCCAGCGCCTGGCACCATACCCAGCGGCACAGGGCGAGCCCCACCTAGCAAGGATGCTCACAGGCGCGTCTGGGATGTGGCCCCTCCAGCCCCCGCTTCTCCATCCAGACTCCTTTCCGGTGGGAGCAGCTCAGGAGGGAGGCCGAGGAGCAGGGGGCTGGCCCAGAGGCAGGACCGTAGTGGGCAGCCGTCCAGGAGAACCGGTCTGGCAGCAGGAGCCCAGTGGGAGGCGGGCGGGGACTTAGCAGCCAACCTGTCTCAACTGGTCCAGGCCTCTCGGCCACCAGGTGGCCAGAGCCAGGTCCGGCTCAAGCTGGCGAGGGCTCCCCCAGAGGACGTCCTGGACCCTGGCTACTGGAAGGCCCTGTTGTCTCTGCCTCTTTTCTGACCCCAACCAAGCCAGAGGCCCCCTCGGTGTCTGTGCCCCATTTCAGTCCCCTGAATGTTCCCTCCCCCCTCCCTCCCTCCCAGACTCCCGCAGCTGGCTGGCTGCACTGTTAGTTCTGCCCTACCCTGTTCCTGTTTTCTCCATGCCCTCGCATCTGTCTCACCCTACGCCCCCAAACCCCATCTTCCCTGATCTGTCACCCTAGATCTGAGCCCGTGTCCTCCCAGATGAACCCCTTGGCCAGGGCTCAGCCTCATTCCTCCCACTCAGTTCTACCCAAACTCCTTCCCAAGGGGGGGCACCAAGGGAGCCTCCAGACCCCAGGAGAGAGGCAGGCCGGGGTAGGGGGGAGCTCCAGGTTAAGATGGTACGGGCGGGAGGCAGCCTAAAGATGGGGCAGCGGACCCAGAACTCCCACCCATAAGCCCCCTGGATACCTCTGCAGAGTTGCCAGCACCGGGTCCCTGCAGGGGAGGGGGTGGAGGGGCACACCTCCGGATATCTGCGGGGGCCGCCCCTTCCCTCTGGGCACTGCATGGCGGGCAGGACAAACAGAGGAACTGACCATGTTTATAAATGATCAGGCGGGCGCCCCGCCCTGGGGCAGCTCCCAAGCCCCAGCCGGCGCCCTTTCCCACCAAGGCCCTAGGCTCCTCCTGGGGGCCACAGAGGGGAAGGGAGAGGAGCTGCTCCAAAAGGAAGGCGCCTGGGCAGGCAGGGGGCGGGGCGGAGAGGAGCCGCGGTTCCCAGGCAGGCCCAGAACTTGGGAGCCAGAGAGCCCAGTGCCGGAAGGCAACCCTGCCGCCCCTCCCAGTGCCACCTCACTTTCTGCATCCCGGAGGGGGAGAAAGACAGCCCCGCCGGGAAGCTCAGGGCACCACTCTGCCACTCTGGGCCTCGGTTTCCTTCTCTGGTGCGAGGGCGGGCGCGGCACTTGCTCCCTGGAGTCCTCGGCAGCAGTGAGAGGAGCCAGGGCGTCCAGAGCCGGCCCGTGGCCTCCACACAGCAAGGCGACGCGCAGGATGGCCGGGTGCCCAGTCACAGGCCACACTTCCTGCGCCCTAATGCGCGGCGACCCTCTTCGGAGTACGCCACCCAGAGCCCCTCACTGGATCCGCACACCTGACCCAGGAGGAAAGGGCCGTGACAGGACGTGTGTGGACAAGGAAAAGGAGGCACAGAGAGCGCACCCTACCTGCCCAGCTCACACAGCCTGGTAGCAGGGTGGCTGGGAGACGCCGGGCCTGTGGCAGAGCCAGGGAGGCTGAGAGCCGCGTCCTTGGAGAGTCGTGTGTACCGGGCCCTGACGGTGCCCGCGTCTGAGCCCAGCTTTCCCTCACCATCACTTGTGAAACAGGTGCTCTCATTACCCCAATTCACACACGGGGAGACTGAGGCCCAGAGGGGGGAACCCCTTATCCAGGACACTCAGGATTCGAACCAGGGAGTTGTGGCCCAAAGTCCTTCATGCAGCAGCGGGGCGATTGTGTTGTCATCCTTGTCACCCCAAGGCCAGTCCTGGCCTCCTGCTTTCTACCCTGTCTTACCATCTCTCTGTCCACACCCAGACCTTGCCCTTCCTCCTGCCCTGCCTCCTCCTGGGGTCCTCACCTCTGTCCAATCTGTCCCAGCCTCAGGGAGGCAGGAGGCAGCACGGAGTGGGCCCCCGCCCTCCGCAGTGGCTCCTTATCCACCTCCACAGCCTTTGACGTGACTGTCTGCAGTGGAAAAGATACACAAACACCACTCCGCTCCACAAATGCAGCTCACCCCCAGTACTGACCGCCGCCACCAATGCCGCCACCTCCTTGAGGGGACCCCAGGGTTCCAATGCTGAGTCACTCCCTATGGCTTCAGTGGAATGGGCCTTCTCACGTCTGTTTTGCAGATATGGAAACTGAGGCTCACCAAAGGACATCAAATAGAGCCGGGCCAGGAAGAGTATCCAATCCACTCCAGGGTTTACATCCTAAGGCCTTTGCTGCTGCCCAAGATTGCCCCAGTGGCCCACCAGGCCCGTCACCGCCTGCCTGTCGTCTGCCTGTTGCATCTCTGCCCTCCGCCCCTCTCTCACACGGGCCTCACGCTTGGCTTTCAAACCCTAGATATGGCCCCACTTCAGGGCCTCTGCACTGGCTGGAGCCCCACCAGCTAGAACTCTCCTCTCACCGATGTCCATGGGGCTTCCTCCTGCCTCCATCCTCTCTGCTCCTGTCCAGCCCCTCCCTACGCCCCTTCTGCACCATGGCACTCACCATATACATGCCTTGCTTCCCCGCACCTCACAGACTCTGCAGGCTTGTTTCTGTGCCTTAACAAGTACAGATCTGTGGCAGCCCAGCAGTGCAGGTCGTCGGCACCTTTCCCCCGTAGCACGCGCTCACCTCCTGTCTGCCGTGTTTAATTCAAGTATATACAGTGCCTTTTGGACACAACGCCCCTGCGCTCCCAGCTGACTGCCATGTGCAGTCAGTGTAACTTCACATGCACGGGAAAGCAGTGAGGGTGTCGCATGGCACGCTGTGCTGCCGTGTGGACTTTATCGGGGTGGCCTGGACTTGAACCCGTAGGATCACGGAGGTGAGCCTGTCTAGGTGTGTTAGCTCCTCAGTGTCTACCTCTCCCACGAGAATGGCAGCAGAGCCAGGGCGGGGCCGGGCACACATTAGCAGGTCCCTCCCTCCCCCCAGACCCTAATGTCCATGGCATGGCCCACGGCAGGCACTCAGGGATATTGGCGCAGAGCCAGGACACCTGCAGCTGCTACGCTCAGCCACTGCCCAGCACCTGGGAGCCCTGGGGGTTCTTATGGAAACTGGGGGGAAACACTTAAAGGGGGTGAACAGTGACCCCAGAGAGACAGCACACAGCCGGCAGCCACCAGTTGGGATACAGACACCTCCGAGTTAAATCCCCAAAGCAGGCCATCTGCATCCGACTCGAAAGCATTTGTTTCCATTTAAAAAAAAAAAAAAAAAGGACACCTTTTGAATTATTTAATATATGGGACAGGCAGTTTCCAACCTGTCCCGGCTAAAGCTTCAGATTTTCCAGTCAGTCCTGCGCTCACTTGTCTAGCCTCTGCCGATCCACGAGAGAAAACAGTGGCCTGCCAAGGAACAGTCCAGGCGGATGGCAGAGGTGCCTGCGACACAGCTGGAGCCAGGGACCCGAAGACGGGGCCAGAGGCCTTTCATACTCGCCACCATGGAACTCTCTCTCGGCCAGCAAGGGTTACGGCGGGCATGTGTCCCCGGCCACACGCCAGGCTCCTGCCGCTGGCTCTGCTGGCCCTTATGCCATCAACCTCACCTCCCAGCTATTGAAGTCCCCTCCCTGCCTCAGTTTACCTCTACCTCCTTGGACTGTGCCTGATGATGGAGGGGGAGTCTGGCTAACCTTCTTGCCCTATAGGAGGCGTCTGGCTGACCCCTCCAACACCCCTCGCCACTCCCCCCACACCTTCTCTGCTCCTGCTGTCCACCCGCATGACCTCACTCTCCTATTCAAATCTCTCTTCAGGCCTCCACACCTAGTTCCTCCAAGGCACCCCAAGGGGCCCGGTTTCAACTTCTGACGGATACATGCTCAAGCCCCCTCCCTAGCAAACATCTGCTCTACCCACAAATGACCCATCACCCCTATGTCTACCCACTAACGCTGCTGAGGGCTGGTCTCTGCCAAACCCAGGGCTAGGGCCACAGTAGCGACCAAAACAGCCAGGAATGTCCCTGCCTGCGGAGCTCCCATCCTAGGGGAGGGCGACAGCCCATAAATGAGACACAACAGAAACAGATCTAGTGAGTCAGGGCAGTGCTGAGGAGAAAAGCAAAGCAGAGATCATAACAGTCTTGAGGCTAAGGGGAGCCCAGAACTGTGCATGAGGTGGGCAGGGAAGGCCTGCTGAGAAGGGAACTCAGGCAGGGATCTGAGGGGCCGGGGAAGGGTAGCCCACGATGCCTGGGGAAGAACGCTGGGTGTCGGGAAAGGCCAGCGCAAATGTCTTGAGGAACAAGCTTGATGTGGGGGTTAAAGAGAGACAACAGGCCCCAAATGGAGTTCCCTGTGCTAAGCCCCATGTAAACAGCGCCTTAATAGCTAACTTCAGTCTCCCCCAAAATGGAACCCCTAACTGAGCAAACTGGAATGATCTGGTCAGCACCTGCTGCCTGACTTGGGAATAGCACGATGACAATTTGACCTTTAACGTACTGTTGCATCTCTGTTGTTTCACACGGTCAGAGAGCAGAGAGGCGCAGAGCGGCTGGGACAGCATGGGGCGGCGTGTGACAGGAGAGCAGAAAGGTGACAGGCAGATCATTTGGGGACATGGGGCCACTTGCGGGAACCCTGTTTAACCCCGGTGAGAGGGAAGCACAGGCGGTGGCCTCAGCTGTATGTGCCCCCACCATGAGAGGGGGTGGGAGGGAGTAGGGAGGTGGTGGAGGCGACCCCAGCAGGTGAGCAGTGAGGGTGGGACCAAGTGGGGGCCGAGGAAGCAGCGGCAGGCTCTGGGCTGGCTACAAAGGTTGAGGACCAGCACTTCTTTTTTAAGAGCTGTAGCCTGAGCTCCCCAGGAGCCGGGCTTGGTCTGGACTTGCCCTTGACCACATCCGCAGCGTCTGGCACATTCTGGTACTCGGTCCATTCTCTCCCGGCCCTGAGCCATCACCTACCATGCTACACAGTTAGGGGTGTGTCCCCCGCTGCCCCCCACGGAGTTGGCGGCTGGGCACAGGCAGGAACCACAGTTTGGCTGGGCACGCTGGATCCCAGCAGGTCACCCCTGGGCGGCAGCCAAGTGGATGGAGGGGGCCGCACGTTTCCACTGACTCTGGCCCAAGCCTTTACCAGGCACGCAAACCAGGCCACGCTGACCCTGCAAACAGTCCTCGGGTGGGTGGGTGGGTGGGTGGAGAATCCTCTTCCTTCCTGTTTCCCAAACCAGGAAACTGAGGCGCAGAGAGGGGAAGTCACTGCCTAGGGCCTCCCAGCGTTGGGCTACATAAGTGCCCACCCTGACCCACAGCGGCCTTGTCGACGCTCCCTCAGCCTCCTGCTTCCTGGCACCTTTGCCTCCAGCCAACACTTCTGTCTGGAAAGAGGACCCCAAAGGTCTGTGAGATAAGAACAAGGACAGAGCCAGCTCACCGCGATGGTCAGAAGCAAGCTCGGAAAGACCGCCTTGGTTCAAAGGGAACTGGATGAAATGTTAAGCATAGAAAGCCTCCAAGGGTTTCCCAGTCCATGCAACTCCCCAATGGGGCTTCACAGGTGCTGCCTGGTGGGCCGAGCCCTCTGCAGAGCCTCGGCTCCTCCCTCCCTCCACTCCAGCTACGGCTGCCTTCTTTATAGTCCTGGACACATCCAGACTGTTGCAGCCTCAGGGCCTTTGCACCAACCATTCCTTCTGCCCAGAGCTGCCTGGTTCACTTTTTCTTGATACTCAGTTCTTAATGCAAATAAAGCCTCAGAGATGTCTTCTCTGAGCTCCTCACAAAATTTGCAGCTCTGCTCTTTATTTCTCTGGCATTTCCTACCTCTGGGCATCAGAGACCAGTGACTGTCAGGTCCCTGCTGCCCGTCCTCCACGAGCTTCTCCGCTCCCAGAGAGGAGGGGCCTCTGTCTGTCTTGTCCTTGCTGTACCGCTGTCAGGCACACAGTAGGCATCCATAAGTATCTGTGGTACATGCCATTACAAAATGATGAATCTGGACCCTGAGGGGACAAGAGGGCAGAGGGGAGGGGAGACAGAGCCCCCAGGCCCAGCCCGCTCAGTCTCAGAAGCCTGACCATGAAACCTGGGCCCAAGTCTTGAGGCTAAAATGATGAGTTAGTGACCAGTCTGATGTGTCCCTTACACAGTGGCATCCCACTGTGAGCCTGTCCCCAGGCTCCCCACCATGGGAGACCACCCCTGGGAATCTGAGCAAGTGGGAGCATATCCGGTCTTACAGGCATGGGGCAAGGCAGAGGGGGTGGTGGTGGTCGTCGTAGTGGGGGACTCCCACAAGGAGACACGGACCTCCAATCCCCTGGCCTTGGGAAGCAGGGCTGGCCATTGGGGGTGAGGACCTGTCCTGCTGTCCAGGTTCCAGCCAGAGGCGGCTCTTCCCTCCCCCCGCCAGGCCTCTGCACACACAACGTCTGTGCCAGGACCTGGCAGGCAGGTGGTGGTGAAGGGCAGGCTGCCTGGCCTCAAGGACTGGCTCCCCCACGCCTAAGTTGGGTGCCCTTGAACCGGTGACTCCGCCTCTCTGGCCCCTTGTCCCCAACTGCAACCTGGGGGTAGTGATAAGGGCACTGCTGGGCTCCTCGCCTCCTAGAGATGCACAAGGTGGGGGCGGCCACCACGGGGTCCCGGGAAATGAGACTGAACTTCATTCATTCCTCCTGAGGCAGGGTGGGAAGCAAAGAGGGGAGGCGGGGCAAAGAGGCTCTGGAGCCCCCTCAGGTCCCTGGAACCCAAGCCCAGGGATGGACGCACATGAGCACCAGCCGCAGAAGCACCCAAAGGCACACAGGCTCCAAGGCACACGCACACGGCCACGCAGAAACTCCACGCAGCAGCCCCCCAAACCCGGCAGCACCCGGGAACACGGCAAGGCGGGCAGGAGGAGAACATCCTGTTTTGAGCCTCAGTTTTCGCCTCTAGAATGTGGGTCCAGCAGCATGTGCCCAGCAGCATGTGCCAGGGGAAGCAGTGGGAGGGAGTCCTCAGAATGAAGGGCCGGACACTCAGGCAGTCCACAGATGGCTCCCAGAAGAAGCCAGGTCCCGAACCCCTGTCCGCACACTGCAAAGACCCAACCCACGCACCCCAGAACGGGGACTCCGACGGAGACCCCCAGTCCAAAGACACACGACGCAGACCTCAGCCCCCACCTAGAAACGCAGGCACACGAGTGCACATGCGCGGCCCCACACAGACTCACCTGGAAAGGTGCGCCCCAGCAGCCCCTACGCACGGGAGGAACACTCCCTGACAGGGTTAGCCACAAGGTTCCAGAGCCACACTCTGGAACAGCGAGGGCCCACGGCACACCCAGGCCCACCACGGCAACTTCAGGGTCACTCAGAGTGCCCCAGGGAGGCACCTCAGCACCAGCCCACGCAGACTGGCCCCCCAGGAATGCGCGCCCACTGATGCTCAGGGGCCTGCGCCAACACCGGCAAGCCCAGCAGACACCTGCCACGGGACACACAGAAACAGAGCCACCGCCTCTGGCCCCAAGAGGGTGTGGCCCCTCGCACACGTGCTCCTACTGGCTCCAGTGACCAGGAGCCCTGCGGCAGGACAGCCCTCCCCCACGCCAAGCACAGCCCCACCCCCTGCCGCCTGCGGGCCGCCAGCTTGCCAGCTCACCGCCACCATTCTCTTCCCTCAGTCCTGGGCCCTTCCCTCGGTGGGGAGGGCGGGTGGAGGCTTCAGCTGGGAGAGCAGGGAGTGGGGATCAAGACGCTCGATGTGGGTGATGTGGGCACCCACTGAGGAGAGCTGGCTGGGCTCTGTGCCCCGGCCTCTGGCAGCCGAGTGGTGGTGACGCGGCCCTGCCCTGGCAGGAGTTGAGCTTGGAGTTGGCTCTAGTCCCCGGAGGGCGGAGGGCGGAGGGCGGGCGGAGGGCAGGGCAGGCAGGAGGGACAGAAGAGGCGGGGCTGGGCAGGGAACTCCAACCGCAGCCCTTGCCTAGGCTTGGTCAGCCCCCACCAGCGCTGGCCATGCCTGCGCACCTCACCCTGGAGTCAGGCTGGGGCCCAGGGGCCAGGCAAGCAGTGGAGACTGGGGCGAGCGGAGCAGATGCTAAGAGTGGCTGGCAGGCAGGTTTGAGACAACAGGTGGGCTGGGTGGTGGCGGAGGTGGGTAGGGAGGATGGGTGGACAGGTGACAGGCTGACAGGTGGCTAGAGATCTGGAGCTGGCTGTGCTCCCTTCTCTACAGCTC